AACATGAATGATCAGAGTCGTACACTTATATATAGTGAAATTAGCAAATACGATTTCCACGGCAGAGCAATGATGATTAGCGATCAATGGAATGTACATATGCATACAATCCTCTCGTGACTTTCCCCTGACACTCGGCAACATCCCTATGACCCACTTGAGCATATATTTGGGCATCGTGTACTCATTACCAATAAGTTGGAACGACCGATACTCAATGGTACCGGCATATAGGAACTTGGTGCTCAATATGAATCCATCGGGAATGTTGAATGATCTCGAATATCTTTGAGTTCGATCGCACAACAAGTCCATAACCACATCGATGTGCTGCATCAGGAAACGCCAATAAAAAAATAGAGAAAATTATTTCATTTAATAAACAAAAAATTATGTATACATAATAAATAACAATTGCGATATTACACTAACATCGTCGGCGAGCTAAGCACCCTAAGTCGTGAAGTCATGATACCTCTATAGGCGTCAACGATCGTCCTTTGAGTTATCATGTAACTAGCTCTAAAAAACGAAACAGAAAAATTGTGAAAAGAAGTATAGATGAGTTAGCATAGCGTACTTCACTAAAATCATAAAATACTTACTCGGACATAATTCTTCGTCATTCTGTCTCGAATGCCTTCCACGTAACATGGTCCACCTCTCGGAAGAGATTGGGGTACGCCCCGTCTACAAACGTCATCCTCTTCACCTCAGCCATGAAGGGAAAAACGACGTACTGTGATGGCAATCTCGGCTTCTTGCCGACCAACTACTCCGACACGTTGACAACACGCTTCTTAGCCTCTGTCACGACTAGTGTTATCTCCTCATTCGCCATTCCCTTCTCCCTGGGGCTCGCCATCTCCTCGGTCATCGAGGCCACCCTTTCCGTCCCGAGCATATCCTCTGCCACATGGATCGCTACCCCCCCTCCGTCTCGGGCACCGCCACCTCCTCAGTCATCTGGGCCACCCTTCAGCCCTAGGCATCATCACCAAGGGTGGAGGAAGGGGGGGTCCTGGGGGGGGACCCGGACCCCCCAATTTTTTGACTAAAAAATTTAATTTTTTTTTCTATTTACCATTTTTTTTAAAAAATATCAAGCACACAATCCACCATATAAGAAAAAATGTATTTCAAGGCAAGAAAAAGTTTCTTGCCTTTTTTTTTTTGAGCCAGTTTCCCTTGTGACATTGACTCTTCAAATGAGCCATCAATCTCCACACTATCAGTATATTAGATCATAGAATAGGAACAAATGAGTACACTGATAAACTGATAATTGCTTATGTAAAACAAAAAGAGAAAAACGTGGAATCTTAGAACTTCTCCGAAGCAGGAAAGATGAAGAGCAATGCCACATAGCCAAATGAACAATAAAAAACAAGAAGTTTCCAACATTATCGCAAATAAAAGGTGCTTCATCACACTGATTTGAGATATAAACTCGGAAGAAAGTTGTACCCTCTCAGTCAGTCCGACTTGAGTTATTTCATTTTCACCTATAAGGGCTTAACGATTTTGATAAAATATTGATTCCACACCACCTGATATCACATACAATATAAACCCAAACTTTAATCATAAAATACACGATTTAACTTGACATACAATAACGAAGAAAAGATAAAGTCAGATAAAGCAGTTAAAGTTTAAAAATGATATTCACATATCACAAACAAAAATGTTTCCCCTCCATCACAAAGTACCAACTTCTCTCATTTAAACAGATAATATTTCAAAAAAAAATTTCGGGAGCCCCACGCTTCAAACTATGGGACCCCCCTACTTCGAGGAGCTGGCTCCGCCCCTGATCACCACCCCTTTCGTCCTATCTTCCTCCGCCATCTCTCCTATCCCTATCGAGGCCACCCCCTCCCACTCCACAAATAAAAAAAAATGATTCTAATGTATCATCATCTATCCACAATGGTGTGTGACCCAGAACTCCGTCACCCCCTCGTATGTCTGCTATATCGTCTTGGAGCACTGCGACCTCATCTTGAAGTTCTCTTATATGGTCTCGTAGCACTACAACATCAAGGCATAAACTTGATACCTCGCTGCTCATTCCTCATCGCAATGCCCATATCTTCTCTCGTAGCACACCCACCACCTCGCTCATCTTTCTTCGTAAAGTCCCTACCTCCTCTTGTAACGCACCCACCTCCTCCGCCATAAATCCAATCAGGCAGACATACAAATCATGAAAATAATGACTCTAACTGCGTGTAGAAGATCCACGAGGGAGGTGTTGGATGGAGGAAAAAGAAATCTCATTGGCGAAGGTATCCTTTTGACGAAGGTGATCCTATCGGTGAAGGTGATCGTCGATCAACTGAACCGCGCTCCTACACAAATAACAACATTAAAAATTATTAATTTAGTTAAAATATGCCAACTCATACAAAACGGTAATCAATAAATTATATTCAATTCACATACCCAATCTCGGTTCAAAATGGAATCGGACATCTGGTCATATTGAGTATGCGGAATGGCTAATTCACGCACAAAATCTCGACCCTCTTCCTTCGTCAACGACGTCAACTCGGTTAGGATTTCAAACTGACATATTGACAGTTCAACTAGTTAATGATCATGTGATGAAATTTTGAAACGACTTACGATATAAATTGCAAATGTGTAATACTCACCTAAGAATCGTCAGGAGGACTGTTTGCCGATGGATATCCGTCTGCTCGGGATGCTCGCTAAAAGGAAAAGGTCGATCATAGTCTTCTTGTAATGACACCTCACCACGCTTTCAAGGATGTAGACCAGTCCTAAATTCAATCTGTCTAATATCTGGTCGCATTCATTGATTGCGCCGATCAATTGTGGTAGAAGCACCGCCCACTGTCCTTGAAAATACGTCTCATGCAGCGTATTACTTCTCTGAGTACCATCAGTAGCTGTCTCGTCGTCTGCTATCCTCAATTCAATTATGAGGGCAAATTTAAACATGGAGAAAGTAGTGACCTACCCCCAAGGTCGAAGTGAATGGCATCTCCGTCGACTGGCCTAATCAGCCGACATAGTAATGCATCAATAATCTGCCCAGAGTACTCTACCTCTCTCAACTAATAAAAGGGCCACATAAAGGACTTGCGTAGGATATCTGCATGCTGATCATCCAACAACTCCAATACAATAATGAAATTGTCAAAGTTAGTGTTCTATGTACATTTTTCTACCATTTGTTTCAACTTCACAGTTAGATGGTACTCCATCCTTCAAAAACTCAAATATTAGAATCTTCAACGAAAGATAATAGAATAACATAATTTCAAAAAAAAAATAATAATAAGTGAATCAAATTACAGACAAAAATAAATTAAGGAAAATAATAAAATATAGAAAATTAAAAATTAAAAAGAATTTTAAATTGAAAAAAATTATTTATAATATGAAAAAAACAATAAAGAAATTTTAAAATTATTTCCAAAAAAATTATAATAAAAACAAAACAAAAGGAAATTATAAAAATTAAACAAATAATATATATAATATTTAATTAAAATTTTAAAAAATAATTTTAAAACATAAAATAAACAATTAAGAAATTTTAAAATTATTTCCAAAAAAATTATAATAAAAAAAATTAAATCAGGAATATAGATATTATTTAATTAAAGTTGAAAAAAATAAATTATCAAAGAATATAAATATTATATAATTAAAATTTTAAAAAATTGAAGTTTATCATAAAAAGAAAAGAATTAAAAATAATTTTAAATTGAAAAGAAAATGAAAAAAAAAATCTTGTGCATATTAAAATTTAAGGCCGACTGTTAACTAACAGTCGACTGGGCTAACAGTCTCTCACCAAAAATGGCGAGTCCGACAAGTTAAGCTTTAGAAACGTAAAATATACATATCATCCACTGCATCCAATAATTTACCTAAATAATTAAGAATAAACATTGTACACAACAATTTAAAACATAATAAATGAAAAATCAATCTCATAATAAAAAAAATTAACCTTGTTGAAGATAATGACCGATGTGTGGTGGTTGCTGTTGAGTTTGACCGTGGCGATGCTTTTTCGATTGGATCCATGGATTGTGTGTGAGTACTTTGAAATTTTTTTTCCTCTCCTCTCGAACAGTAGAAGTAGGATATTTTGGATTTTGATTTTAGTATTTAACTTAGCCTTTTACAATTTTTAACTAATTGTTTTAGTGGTCAAAATCTAATATGTAAATATTCCTATGTAAAAAAACACTTTGGAATAATGAACCAGGCATGGCAATGTGCGGGGCATTTATCAAATTGACCTAGTTGACCAAGCTTTTATAACCTTTTGTAAAATTGTCTATTTTGCCCTTAATGATATATGTTTTGTTTATTGTAAAGTATATCCTTTCTCTACAAATGATTTTGACGATTGATATATTATATTTCTATATTTTCAACTTTATCTATCAAATCTATCATTTGATCTACTAGATTAGTATAATGTATAATCTTTTGTTCATATTCTTTTATAAGTTTTGTATATTCCTCATATGGTCTATTTCTATTTTCTAGTTGGGATCTAATATTTTTTATCTTTTCTAATATCCTTTCGCATAAGTT